ACTTCTACACTGAAAATATAAAACATTGTTGAAAGGAACTAAATAAGATCTAAATAAATAGAAAGATACATCACGCTCATAGATTATAATAGTGTGGGGCGCCTGGGTAGCTCATTCAGTTAAATGTCCGACTTTGGCTCAGGTCAAGATCTCATGGTCTATGGGTTCGAGCCCCACATCAGGCTCTGTGCTGACAGCTCAGAGCCTGGAGCCTTTTCAGTTTTTGTGTCTCCCTCTCTCTCCCTCTCCCTACCCTGCTCTCTCGCTCTTTCTCTCTCTCTCTCTCAAAAATAAATAAACACTAAAAATTAAAAAAAAAGACTTAATAGTATTATGATGGCAATATTCCTAAATTAACCTATAGATTCAACTCAGTTCCTATCACAAATCCTAGCATGTGTTTTTTACAGAAATTGATAAGCTGGTTATGAAATTCATATGGAAATGCAAGGCACCCAGAATCATCAAAACAATTTTGAAAAAGAAGCACAAAGTCAAAGTCACATTCCCAATTTCAAAACTTATTACACAAGTGTAGTAATCAAGACAATGTGGCACTGGCATAAAGATAGACACATAGGTTAACAGAATACAATTGAGTGTCCAGAAACAAATTCTTACATTTATATTGAATAGATTTTTGATGAGGATGTCAATATAATTCAGTAGAGATAACAGTCTTTCAACAAATAGTGCTAGACAATTGAGTATCCACATGCAAAAACAAACAAAAAACAAGAATTTGGACACCTTAGTTAGTTAACTAATACATAAAAATTAACTCAAAATGGATCATACACCTAAAAATGTAAGAACCAACACAAAAATCCCTTAGAAGAAAACCTAGGAGTATATGTCTATGACCTTGAACTAGGCAATGATTTCTTGGATATGATACAAAAGCACCAGTGACAAAAGGAAATACATATAATTTGAATTACAACAAAACTTTTTGTGCTTTGAATTGTATCATCAATAAAATTAAAAAACAATATCCATTCAACAGGAGAAAATATTTGTAAATCATATTATATATTGGATTGGTATTCAGATTATTAAATAACTCTTACAACATGATCATAAGAGAACAATTTAAAAAATGGGCAAAGAGGGCACTTGGGTGGCACAGTCAGTTAAATGTCCAACTCTTGATTTCAGCTCAGGTCAGGATCTCACAGTACATGAGATCAAGCCCCGCTTTGGGTTCTGCACTGACAGCGTGGAGCCTGCTTGGGATTCTCTCTCCCTCTCTCTCTGTCCCTCCCCCCACTCTCTCTTTCTCAAAATAAATAAATAAATAAATAATAAATAAATAAGTAAATAAATAAATAAATAAACTTAAAAAAATAAAAATAAAATAAAAAGTAAAAAATGGGCAAAGAATTTGAATAGGCATTTCTCCAAAGAAGGCATACAAACAGCCAATAAGTACATGAAAAGATGTTCAACATTATTAGTCATTAGAGATATGCTAATTAAAACCACAGTGAAATGCCACTTCACACAACTAGGATAGATAAAATAAAAAAGATAACAGCAAGTGTTGCTGAGATGTGGAGAAACCATACATTGTATGGTTAGACTGTAAAATGGTACAGTTACTTTGGGAAATAGTATGGCAGGTCTTCAAATTGTTAAATATGGAGCTACTGTGTGACCCAATTATTCCACTCTTACCTACAAATCCAAGAGAAATGAAAACATGCATCCACACAAAAACTTGTACACAAATATTCATAGCACCATTATTGATAACAGCCCAAAGGTGGAAGCCATCCAAGTGGCTTTATCATACCAATTGATAAAGGAGGTATATCTAAACTATGGTAATATTACTTGGCAATAAAAAAGTATGAAATACTGATGTAGCTAAAACATGGATGAATTATGAAAACATTTTTCCAAGTAAAAGCAGCTAAATACTACATTTTTCATGATACCATTGACATGAAAACCCAAAATAGGCAAATCTTTTTTTATTGTATTATTTATTTATTTTGAAAGAGAGAAACAGAGAAGGGAGAGAGAGAGTGTGTGCATGCGGGAGGGTCAGAGAGAGAGGAGAAGAGAGAGAATCCCAAACAGGCTCTGCGCTGTCAGCATGGAGCCTGATGCAGAACTTGAACTCATGAATCGTGAGATCATGACCTGAGCTGAAACCAAGAGTCAGATGCTTCACTGACTGAGCCACCCAGGGGCCAGAATAGGCAAATCTATAGAAAAAGAAAGTAGATTAGTTGTTTTTCCAGAGTTTAGTAACTACTAGGTATAGGGTTTCTTTTTGGGGTGATAAAAATATTTGAGGGGTGCCTGGGTGGCTCAGTTGGTTAAGCATCTTACTCTTGATTTCGGCTCAGGTCATAATCTCATGGTTTGTAAGTCCCAACTCTGCATCAGGTTCAGCACTGACAGTGTGGAGCCTACTTTGGATTCTCTCTCTCCCTCTCTCTGCCCTTCCCTGTGTGCTCGCTTGCTCTCTCTCTCTCATCAAGTAAATAAATAAACCTTAAAAAAATATTTTAAACTTAGATGGTAGAAATGCTGCACAAATCTGTGAATATACTAAAACCTATTGAATCATACACTTTATGTGGGTGAATTTTATGGTCTGAGGACTAAATCTCAATAAAGAAGTCTTTAAAAATGGGGTTGATATCTTCAAAATTAAAAAAAAAAAAAGCAATAGGCCTTGGGGATTGGGTGAAGCTAAGTTTGACTACCAGCTTCCCCACACACATTATATGGTCTTGGGCAAATTCCCATACTGCTCTGGGTCTCAATAAATGGTAGCTTATCATCCAACTGGAAGGAAAGTAAAGAGAGGTGAGGATATGCAGACTCGGGGTCACAGTCAAGGCAGAGCCAAGAGGATCCTCTGGGATGAAAGAGGCATATCCAAGACCACCAGCTAAATTTTGGTTCTTTGTCCCTGTCTATTCCCCAGCAGAAGGGACCTTTCCTAAATATCCCACACATGAGAGGGTCTCCAGAGCCATGTTATACAGTGGGTATTGACCTCAACTCTTCCAGTAGGCAAGAGCAGCATCCCTCCCATCAGACAGCAACACGTGCTCCTCCCTTCATCTCCCATCTTTGGCTAGACTTACAGCAGGAACAGAAGATTTACAGTATTAACAGAATGGAGGGAACAGAAGAAGGATGTTGACAATCACATTCCAAGCCATTTTCATCTCTCACTGCTCAATCAGGAAGGTCATTTTCTCCCCAGTGGCCAAAAGACATTAGATGCTTTGAGCTTTGCATTCTCAACAGTGTAATGGAAATAGATGTTGAATGCTAAAACATAAACATATGTATCATTCATAATGCATTCAGATGTTTTTCAATTATTCATGGTTCCTGAAAGTTATGTGACCTATCATGCATATATATCCAAGCAAAGTTTATATTAGAACCACAGTCTCAATGTACGCAATTCCAGCTCCTTGGCATTCCCGTCCATGGAATTAAAATTAAATGAGTCAGTGGTCAATAAAAGTTACATGTGATTTCCATAAAATTATCCATTGTATATTGCTCTAGGGTGGAGAAAGAAGGTTGCATGGAGTTGCTAAAGCTGAGAACACAGAATTCTTGCTTTCTGATGAGGGTGGTGGTGATGATTAGTCTGTCCTAAGAATGAATTCATTATTTCCCTGAATAATTGGTGGTCTTGGACTTACTTTTTGTCTAGGAAAAAAAAATAATAACTCAGAGAGCCATGCTCTTTCTCTTCTAAGTCCTGTTTTCTTTAAGAAAGAAAGAAAGAAAAGAGATAAGGAAAGAAAGAAAGGAAGAAAGAAAGAAAGAAAGAAAGAAAGAAAGAAAGAAAGAAAGAAGAAAAAAGCCAGTGTTCTGGCCTCAAAAACACCACATTCTTCTGTTTTGGTGCTTGAATAAATTTGCATGTTAACATGAATGGTTCCAACTTTAAGAATGTAAAATTAAATGAAATTTGAATTCAAAGCCAAGATGGAGAAAAGACACATGCAAAAACAACAGATTTCCAATCTTGTTGATTTTTTTCAGGAACCAGATTAGGAAAGACATAAACACACACACACACACACACACACACACACACACACACACACACACACACACAGATTCAAAGAAGGGTGGCACTCAGAGAAGACAGGCACTGCCAAAGAGGAGCCCCCCACACTGTACCCCCAGCTCACACACACTATGCGTATTTACAGATCACAGCACAGATTCTGAAGCTCTGTTTTAATGTCTGAATGCCACCGTAAAACTCAGAAATAGGACTCGGAAGACATGTTCACCATCACATTCGTACTTGTGAAAGCCCACCCAGATAAAATGAAATGTAAGGAACTTTATATGAGTAGCTCAAGTGAACACAGGCATGAATTTGCCTCGGCTGGCCCTAAGAGCCATGTCTTGCTTGGACTTCTTCACTGCACTTGAAGGGCAGTATTGCATGTAGTGGTTAGATGCACAGACCGTCAGAGATGTACAGAATCCCAGATCTACTCACCATTTACTGGCTGGGTGACTTCTGGCAACTGACTTAAGCTATGAACATAACTTTTGTCATTAGTTTTCATTTGCCTAATAAGAGTGCCAGCATCATAAATTTACCATGAAAATAAGATAATATAATGCACTTAGAATGGCATCTAGCCTAGAGCAAGCATTCGACAAGGGTTAACTGCCATTGTGCTAGTTAGTATGGTGGTAGTTATCATTATTAGGTATTTAGGTGATTCAGTCCTGCCCTGAAACTGTTTCTTTCTTCTCCAACCTACTCTCCCATTTTGGCCAGACACCACCATCCAGAAAGAGAGACAAATCAAGTCATGGCAAAAGCCTGCTCTGAGTGCGGGTCAACGGAATGTGTCATGAATCATCCCCTCCTGTCCCACTCCTGTCAACCTCTTCTCACAGCCCAGTCTCTGATGAAGGCATTCCAAATGAAATGACAAAGCACCTTCAGAAACAAAGAAGATGGCGAGCAACAAGCACCAGCAACTTACCTCATCTTCATCCTCAGCCATATTGGTGCCCAATTTCTGGACCACCGACTTGCCACTTGCCTTTAACATTTTCTCTCGAACTTTGGTTTCATACTCAGGCCGGGAGTGTTCCTAAAACCCAAGAGTCAAAGAGTAGTAGGTAAGCAGGCAGAAGAGCCCCTGGCCTGTGGGTGATAATCAGACACTACGAGTACGGTATAAAGTCAGGACTTAGGATCGAATGCTATTTGGATATGAACACCACACACAATCACAAGGAGTCTAGACCAGGAACACAATGTGGGGGAGAGGGAAGGAACACACAATAGTTGTTACCACACTGAAAACCAAACCTGGGCACGTTCCTGGGGATGGCGCCAGTGTTGAGAAAGGAGAGAGGAAACATTAACTGGACAGCTGATACAAACAGAAGCATCTGGTTGTCCTACTAACTATCCTCATACCTCAAACTTTAAGTTTCAATGAGCCAAATCCCAGCCAGAGAAACAGATGTGCCCCACAGCTGGGAGTTAGGGCAACAGCAAAACTTCCTGCTCCATTATTCTGCAAGCTAAAATGGCGACCAATAAACATCAAAGCTAAAGATGGCCACAGGGAATCTTAAAACTCACTTGCCTGAACCTGTTTCCTGTACAACCTAGGTGAGTAACTCATTGGCAAGTACACCAATGCTCAAGAGATATCACTGAGCCATTCAGCAATATAAACCTGAATAGTGAGTCACCAGGCAGGGGAAAGAGACTAACTAATCAAGAGGACTACGGTCAAACCAATGCAGATGCTGAAGCAGGAAGATGCAGGACTTACTTCAAAGAGAATTTAACAGTGTACACCTGGCCTCATTGGCAGGTCTTCCCTGCAGCGTCCAAGGATAAATATCTACAGGTGTGAGGACTTCATGTTCCCGCATCATTTATCGATAACTTGTAGGCAAGGGTTCAGGCACTGGCTCACAGTTGACCCAGAGTACACACATTTCTTTACCACTGCTCAGACGTCAGAGATTCCAAAAGCCAAACAAGCTAGGCTCCTGACCAGTCTTTGGCTTTCCCAGGACATTCATAACATTGGAGAGGAGAAACCATGCATGTGACTTATAAGCATAACCACTGCAACAGGGGGTGATGCTATTGAAGGGTTTTAAGGCACCCTGTCATTACCAATCTCCAAGGATGCATCAGCCCCGTCCCTTCCAGGACTTCTCTGTGGCAGCATGCCTGGGGGAATCTCCTTCCTCTTGAATAGCCTAGAGTTGCATAGTTTGTACCACAGATAGTTCTCAATTATGTATATTTCTTTTATTTTTTTCCTAGCTGTTTTGTGTGTGAGAGTCTCCTAATATGAGGATCTGCTACCAAAACTGTCTTATTTTGTATTTTTCACAGTAATTAGCACCATGCAAAGCACCCGGGAATCTCTAAATGCTTGTGAAGCTCACTGATTTTGTCTCTCACTTTCATCCATTCTCTACCACATCATTTCCTAATGTGTGTGCCAAAAGAGTTTTAGCTAAAAAGGGATTTCAGGGTCTAAGAGATTGGAAAAGCCCATACAAGGTATCACCTGAGAGTCACAATGAGCATATTAGAAGCTCTGAAAAGTTTTACTGTGAAGACACTTGCTTAATTTTTTTAAAGCCACCATTTCTTACAAAAAATCCCTTTGCTCCAATTGACATCCTATAGGAATACTTTGAGAAATGGGGTTTGAAATTGTCCTCCATGGCCTCTGAAATCTGGCCACTTTTTATCTATATTATTTCCATGGAAGATTTTTTATTTTTTTAATGTTTATTTCTGAGAGAGAGAGAGAGAGAGCAAGCATGGGAGGTAGAGGGGCAGAGAGAGAAGGAGACATAGAATCTGAAGCAGGCTCCAGGCTCTGAGCTGTCAGCACAGAGCCTGATGTGGGGCTTGAACTCATGGAGTACAAGATCATGATCTGAGCTGAAGTCAGATGCTTAACCAACTGAGCCACCCTCCATGGAAATCTGCCCTCCATGGAAGATTTTAATTAAAAAATCATAGCAATATCCTTTTGGTGAGTACCATAATGTGGATTCTAACCCCCCTCAAGCTAGAGTTGTTTCTACCGTTCATACCCTGAAAAGGGGCCGAGGAACTTTCCCTACTTGACTAGGAGGCTGCTCTCAACCTGCCTCTGACTTTCCAAAGACGTGCCACGCCATCAGGCATGTCTCCGCATTCCTCTAGTGGTGGCTATGGCTCACCTCACCCCACACTGGGCCCCCATTCAGAACCCCTCCTCTGTTTGGAACAAGCCGAGCATTCTTGGTGCATGAACAGGAGTCCAAGACTCTCAAAGCAGAGTTAGGCTGCTCTGCATTCTAGCTGAGGCAGGTCAGACAAGGATCTCTCTGTTGGTAGCCAAGAAGGTCAGGTGAGGTTACAGAATTCTTCAAAGGCAGAGGGCTGGACAACTGAGCTCATGGCCAGAGCAGAATCTAGTCCCTGTGAGGGTTGCTCCAATGCACCCAGCCATGGATAGGTCCTTCTTATTTCTGATGTTCCCCATACACGGCCTCTCTGGATTGGTGGTCTGATGCAAAATCATCACAAACATATAACTCCTCCCACCAAGACTCCGGGAAATATTTCCCAAGGCTACTTCCACCTGGTTGGTATCCTCAGGAACTGGCTGAAGGATGGCACCAGGCCAACTCAGGACCAGCCTTCTCTGAGATGATCTAAAGAGGTAAATCCAGAGATATGTTCAACAAATGCCTTCATCAAGAGTTCCCAAGCTCCTACTGTGCTCTGAGCCTTTTTCCAAGCTCTGAGGTCACAATGGGTCCCTCCTCTCAGGGAGCTTATCTTCAAGTGGAGGAAGGTGACAGTAAGCAAACACACACATAAGAAACCAGCAGATAGGGATAAGAACAACAGAAGAAATAAAATAGGATGGCTGCTTTAGAATGGGGATTCTGAGAAGGCCAGTCAGAGGAGGGTAATGTTTTGGTATGGAAAAGTCAAGAAAGGATAGGCCATGTGGAGACTGCAGCATTCTAGGCAGAGGTGACAGCCAGTGCAAAGACTAGAACGAGCGTGGGAAAGAATGAAGGTCTACATGGCTGGAAGGTCTGAGCAAGGAGGAGAATGACATGTGCTGAGGTCAAAAAAGGCAGGTAGAGGATTTTGCTTCCTATGTGATAGGAAACCAGCTGGGTCATCTAAAGCTTGATATGACAGATGAGGGATGGGAGAGAGATTGAGGGGAGGATATCTGTGTTCAGACAAGGCCACACTCTCTAAGAGGAACACCTGGGGTCTGACAGAAGCTAATGAGGCAAATGAGGCCCACTGAGCTGAAGATCATCCCACCTCACAGGGAAAGACTCTTGAGATCTTGCAGGCCTCCCTTCAACAAGAACAGAATCCAAAGTAAATCCCTTGAGGTGCCCTTGCTGGTTCCACAGGGAAGCCCCTCAGGCAGGGGACACACTGACCCAAGAAGTTGGCTCTTGAGTTTGGTTTTTCACGTCCTTCCCTGCCCTGAAAGAAAGCAGTCTCTAGCCTCCTTCCACTTCTCCCTGGTTTACAACCTAGACTTGAGGCATCCCACTTGTTTAACCCTTCCTGGGGTGGCCCACGTGGTGGGTTCCCCCCAGGTGGGAAGGACAGAGGGGAAATGAGCCTTTGTCCCGGTGAGTTAACCACTCTCGTCTCCCCTGAGGAGGTAAGTGTTTCCTAGTGAAGACCACGGGGAAGCATAACGTCTTAGGACTACAGACAGTTGACCATGGGAATATTCCTGATTCCTAGAGATACCATCTGGTTAAAATAGAAACAACTTCTAATCATGACCTCCAAGGGCCCCTGCCTCCCTCTCCCCAATGCCCAAGTCATACCCGCCATCCTCTTGCTCCTCGCCTGAATGCAGGTTAAACCTGCCCACGACACTTCAGATAAGGAATCTTGTAAAGTCATAAACACCTTCCTATCCTGCCCTCCATGACTTCCCATGACCTACAGGAGATGCACAGCAGCCATCAGTAACCGCCCCGACCTGAGTGCATGCCTATATTTGTTGCTTTGTCCACCACTACATCCCCAAACCTGTTCCCACAGCCAACTGCACCTTCCCATCATCTCACTGTTTCTGATCTATACCCCTAGCTTCCCGGATCAAGACTTCTGCCTGCTGTTTCCTCCTGTGGGTACCCTTTCTTCCCTTTGAAATTTTCTTCAATGGAATTTGGCCCAGTCTTCAAAACTCTGATCAAAACAAAACACATTTTTAAAAAGGCATTTCTTCTTCTGGCTACATTAGCCAGAAGGAATTTCTATCACATATTTACCATTGTGTTCTAAATATTAGAGACCAGACAGCACCCTAGTTGAATAGAATCCTTTGGAGATGCTCAGAGACCACCTGACATAATTCCATATTGCATATCAAAACTTGGTACATAGTTGGTGCTTACTGGGTATGTTCAGATTGAACTGAACTTAAAGTGTGTTTGACATCCTAGTTTGAAATATAAACACATTAAAGGAAAAGACAAGGTTGTCCTCCCTTCCTCTCAGCCATGCCTGGCCCTGGGCTTGCATACTCAGGGCACACCAACCATGCTGTAGAACCAACCTGCCTTGCAGTAACCTCACCCATCAGGAGTGACCAGAGCCCATGAGGACCACCTCATTGTGGTAAACCCAGTCTTGGCCAGACCACTCTCACCCTGCACATGAGTTCCTGAAATCATGTACCTCCCATGAAGTTACCACTGCTCGCTGGGTTCATCAGAAAACAGGAAACCTGGGGGCGCCTGGGTGGCGCAGTCGGTTAAGCGTCCGACTTCAGCCAGGTCACGATCTCGCGGTCCGTGAGTTCGAGCCCCGCGTCAGGCTCTGGGCTGATGGCTCGGAGCCTGGAGCCTGTTTCCGATTCTGTGTCTCCCTCTCTCTCTGCCCCTCCCCCGTTCATGCTCTGTCTCTCTCTGTCCCCAAAATAAATAAATGTTGAAAAAAAAAATTTAAAAAAAAGAAAACAGGAAACCTGGCTACTAAAAGAAAATGGATCATACGGCCACCCCTGGCAGGGGCCTGTGACTGAGATTTTGAGGGAACTGAGTCACAACCAATGCCTTTCTCTGTGTGAATGTGTTTATACCTCCTAACAGAGACTTGCTGGCATCCTCAGCTCTACTTAGCCCACACACTTAGCTGGTCTCTGGCCCCAGGCAGGCGTGGATGCCAGGATGTTTCTTCTTCTCTTCTTTGGAGACATGCTAGGCCCTTCATTAGGAGAGTGGGAGCCACCACTATCCCCACACCTGGCCATAATTGCCCGGTCTCTCTCTCTGCTGAAGCAACTGGAACCAACAGGATAAGGATCTCCCAGTCAGGTCATACCCACAGTCCCACTTCTACAGCTCTTTTATTGGAAGCACTCATTTGGGCATTCTCCCCCAAGAAAGGCAACTGCCTTCATTATTCTCTGTTGCTTATCTTCCTTATTTGTATCCTCTCTGAAGGTAGAATCCACATGCACATTCCCTGATTTGCCATGGAACCCATGATGCCGTCAGTCCCCGGGCATATGTTCAACGCACAGGACTGGAATACAGTGAGCCCATGTACTCAGTGCATGGTAATGGAATGCCCACCTGCCCAATTATAGCATCAAGGAGAAGAAATGATGTCATGCTACAGACATAGGGACTCACAAAGATCCCGAGTGTAAGGCGAGGCACATCAATTACTATGGGAGAATACAGAAAAGGCCTGCTCTCCATGTAGCCGCCATAATGCTTGTGGCCAGCCTTTGCATGTGGGTACTCAGGCAAATGCAAGTGCCCCTTGATCTTTCTAGACACCGTTCCCAGTACCTCATCAACAATGTCCACGATATCAGGAGTGCCTACCCAATATTCACATTTACTGTTCAGTCACTGGTAGCGTGTGGAAACAGATAAGAACTGTGAGCAATCATGCACACACTACTCATTGCCAGTTTGCCAACATCAGGACTGTGGACCTGGTTCTCATAAGAGCCCAGGGGGACGGCTGATTTGTTTTCAGTCTTTTCAATATCATCTGTCCCTAAAACTAGACTCCAGAAGAGCCTACCCTTTGCCCTTAGCTCATCCTCCAGTTTCACACATGCTGTACTGGCTTATAATAGTTCAGTGGTTCTTCTTCCATAGGCATCAAAGGCAATCAGCATCTGGCACCCACACCTCTCCCTTGACCCTCAGTAGGCTTACATATGCATGCTCTGGGCTACATGAGAGTGATTCCTACCCTTTGGCTTCATGCACACTAGCAGCCATGACATGAGAGACAGAAATTAAATCTCAAAAGTTAAGTTAAATCCCAAAGCTACCATAAGGCTTTTCTCTTATACCACCTCTTTTTCCACATGACTACCTATCAGGTCCAATGTTTTATAGCTCAAGAGAAGAGTGGAGATTTGAACTCTTGGCCTCAGTGCCTATCAACCACAGCTAAGACCATGGAGCCAATGGATTGATGTGGCAGCAAATGTTAAGTGGTCATCTCACTCAAGAAGATCTATTTCCAGGGTGAAACCAAGAAAGGACCCAGAGAAGTATGCAAGGAAACTCACTTCTTCCTCTTCTATCCCAGTCAGGTCCCAGAAGTAGCCCAGTCGCATCTGCAATCTCTTCCAGTTTTCAAGAAACATGGTAGCTTAAAAAGAGAGAAAAAGTTCTATTAATTTTAAAGGGAAGATTTTGAGTACACTTTAGGTTCCCCAATGGAGGTGAAGGATAAACATACTGATTTCAAATTTAGGGACTCTCTTTAAAGCACTTATTCCCTTCCTTCTACTTCTAGCTGGAACTGATCAAAACATTCCACATCCCTGACTGTTCACTCCATATATTTAAAGGGAGATACACATGCACACATGCTTGTGTGCGCCTTTCCCACTTCTAGATTATGAGGAGAGGGTAAACACAGACCTCAAGACATGAAGGAGGGAGGGAAGGATGAAGAAAATAAGACTGGAAGGGTCTGTAGTCTTTCTTGACAAGCCTCATCTTGCCTCCACACACATTCTTTCTTCCTGCACCTTCCTCAGCTGGCTCTCACTCTCCATCTTTCCTTCCGTCCCCAGCACCCCTTCCCTTCTCTGGGCCCCACTCATCCCAACCTGAGGTCATGTAACAGTCTCCTAACTGACCCCAGTCTCAGCCTTCTGAGCCACCCTGCATGTGGCTCATGGAGCAATCTCCCCTAAGTGACGTTCACCCATTCCTCCATTTGTTCGGCAAGTAGCTGCTGTGCACCTCCCACACCTGCATGCCGGTTGGTCTGCCTGCTCCAGCCGCAGCCCCTTAAAGGGATAGCCCAACATGCCCCAGGGAGAACCAACACCCATGGGCTTGTGATACCAGGACTGAACACCTAACACCTGCTGATGGAGCAAGCCGGTTCTCTCTTTTGATAACTGAAACTAAGAGACACGAAGAGAAGCAGACATGGGACGAGCCATGCAGCACCTGAACAGAGGAAGGGCCATGGTTTCCGGTAGCTCCTCCAGCTCCAGTTCCCCAGACACCTGGCTGTCTGTCATTACCTGCATCCATGAGCTTGCTTCTTGCTTTCTTACAACAAATCTCTTGTTATCTGAGCAAGCTTGAACCAATTTCCAATCTTGCAAAAAGAACCAGGCCTGACTAAGGTCATCTGTAACATATACAACACTGTTCTAGACATCATGAGGGAGATCAAGGGAAACCAACGTGGATTTGCTCTCAAACTGTTTATGGGGAGAGACTGTCAATAACTAAAATACAAGGCATGGAGTGAGCAGGGCCTAAAGAACAGCACAGATAAGAGCTGTGGACATGCAGCAGAGGGAGCCCTGGCTGCCAGAGAAACCACCTGAGTGGAGTCGAAAACAATGGCATTTGGGCTGTGAAGAAGGGGTGGGAAGAGGGCAGATGCCCACTCTCCCCCATCTAAACTTTCAATGGCTCCTTATTGCCTAGTTCTTCTCTCTGGATGGGGGGATCCTGTATATGCGGCCCAACCCATCTGTCTGAATCCATTCCCTCGGTTTGTCAACACACAACCTCACACTTGCACTGCTGCTAAGGTCACCTCCTTGTTGCCCTCCTCGTCCCCAACTCATGCACACTGTCCCGCTCTCCTATGGTGCCCTCCACTGTCTACCCTCATCCTCTGCTGAACCACTCAAGCCCCACCTCGTCTATAGGATCAGGCTTGGGACACCCTCTCCTCCACACTCCTAATTGTCCTTTAGGTCTGGTGCCCTGGACAAAAAGGAAAGTGACACTCCCTGAGGCCACCCCCTCACCTGGACACCAAGCATGGGAAGAGCCTGGGCGCCTGTTGCTGCACCATGCAGAGCAGTGCAGTAACAGGGCCATAAATTTCCTCAGCTCTTAGCTGCCTGTCTACCAAGGGCACAGCACAGAACTAAGCAGAACACCTACAGACCAGCTGAATGTGCAGTTGCTAAAGGCTATGTTTGTTTTACTTGGCACCTACATTACAGTGCATGGGTTCATGCAGTTTCTCCTGTGGATTTGAGGCTTCTTCATGTCAGTGCATCATGACCTCCCAACCCTGGCATTGGCCTGGGGATGCCCTGAGAACAAGGTGGAGAGGAGGGCGTCCCTCCTTTTCCTACGCTCTTCTCAGCGCCTGAGGAGGGCTCTGCATACAGTGGGACTCAGAGTGCTTCCTGACTGCCATCTCTATGAAGCAGACAAGTCTGACCATGTGAACAGAGGAGAGGGGCAAAGAAGTCACCGCAGAGGAGCCATGAGGACAAGGGAGGACTGTTATAACGACGAAGAGCGGCTCACAGCTCCTGGTGTGTATTACACGCCAGGGACTATGTTAAGTGCTCCACACATATCTCATTCACTTCTCACGGGAACACTACAGGGTAAGTATCCCTTCACCCACCTCACAGATGAGCATAATGAGGCCCAAAGGTTAAGAGCCTTGCTCCAGGTATACAGCACCTTAGTTAAGAGTGCCGACTTTGGTGGGGCACCTGGATGGCTCAGTCGGTTGAGCATCAGTGAGTTCAAGCCCCCCATCGGACTCCCTGCTGTCACTCACCAACCCCACCCCCCGCCCCCCACCAAGCCTGCTTTGGATCCTCTGTCTCTTCCTCTCTCTGCCCCTCCCCTGGCTGTGCTCGCTTTCTCAAAAATAAATAAAACTTAAGAACAAAACAAAACACAAAACAAAACAGAGTGCTGACTTTTGTGACCAGGAGCCAGATCCACACTGTCTGGCCATGGACCCTCAGCTGGTAAGGGGCAGAACTGAGACACACACATCTAGGACTGCCTGGCTCCGAAGACAGTCCAGAAACCCTGTCCCGTTACTTCCCTTTTCAACAGAGCTTCACTCACTTTCCAAAGTTCCCTGGAGTCTGAAGCCGGACGACAGAGGAACCAGGAGCTGGGCCTGAAGACTCCCACAGACCCAGACCCTGCCAGACTAGCACCTTCCACACAGCCCTGGCTCAGCAGCCCCCACTCCTGCCCCACTGACAGAGAATCTCTCTGCAAAGTGCCACTTCTCCCCAGCCTTCCTCCTGGCAGGTTGGGCCCCAGCCCAGGCCCACCCAGCACAGCATCACTGATCATAATAATCATGGTAATGAGAGGCAGTACCATTATTTTTAATTGTAATTTGCAGGCAATTGTGCCCAGCGGCTCTTGGCTGCCGCAACCAAATACACAATCACATAAAACACAGCAAGGCTGTTAAAAAACACAACCGAACCCCACGCTATGCCAGGAAGCTCTGACGCATCCCACCCTTCCTGCTTTCCCCGCATGGCCACAGGAGGGGGAGGGAGAGGAGCGGGGGTGGGGGCAGTAAATTATGGCAGATCCCGGGGGGTGGGGGGTTGAGAGGCATCTGTTAATTACAGCTATTGAGGAAAGAGGAGAGGTAGTTGTTGGGGCTTGAGAGTGGGAAAGTACAATTGAAAACCAAGTCTGTCTATGACAAGGGATTACGGATCCTAGGAAAAGTCTGTAAGGGATCATGGGTCTGGCGTTATTAAGCTTTAGCTATTCAGTCATGGGCATCTCTTAAGACAAATCGGTGGGAATTAGGACTGTAATATATCAAAAACTAAATATGTGTTCCAGGTTCCAAATGAGTTCCAGTGAATTTGGGGGTAGTTATGAGATGCCATGCTTGACAAGGAGCCACAGAGCTGCAGCCCAAGATGCCCCAGGCAACAAGCTTCAGCTTCAGCCAGTTCTACTGAACCCCTCCTGTGAACCATTCCAGGGCCAAATGGTACTAAGTGCCACTTCCTCCTACTCCCTGTCCCTACTTCTGTGGGCTGACTACTGCCCATGTGCTCCTGGGTACTGGCTATTCCACCTGATAACAGAAAATAGAGTGTCCCCTGGAAATGTTTCTTGGTGACCTAGTAATATGGCGGTCTTTCCAGTCTGGTTCTATCTCCACCCAAGTAGAGGTCCCTACAGGGAACAGAGAACGCTTGTGTTAGGTACTCCCAACACTACTGACAACAGACCTCTCCCTGTCCCCTCTTCACACTTTCGGGAATGTGTGACTCATGGTCCCATCCTGGCATGTCCTTCAGGCGCCATGGAGTCAGTGATAATCAAGTATCCTCTGCAGAAGGATCATGGCCCTGCTGCTCTGCGATCCAATGGGGAAGCTAAGGGCTTGTGTATCCAACAATGAGGAGAAAGTAAAAGTCAGGTAGCTACTCAAGATGGACTGAAATGTGTTGACTCTGTTCCTTGTATGATACACGTGGGTGTGTCTTCTTGGAAATGTCCAGTTACCACAGGGTTATTATTCCAGGTTATTCCATTGCAGTTTGTGAAGAGAAGTGTGTGTGTGTGTGTGTGTGTGTGTGTGTGTGTGTGGTCAGATGGCTATGGCCCAGAGAAAGTTTATTACCCTAATACTCTGGGGGTAAGGGAGGAGAAGGAAAATGATGAAACTATCTGTTCTTTACAAATCCCTTTGGTGGAAATACTGACAATACTTCTCTGGCATTAAGTAAAATCTCTAACATCTACACTCATGGTATCCTGGAAATTGCACTGAACCTGGAGTCAGGAGACCAGGTTTAGGCCCATCTTGACCACCAGCTACCTTGGTGACCATGGCAGTCACCCCACCACTCTGAGTGTTATACTGAATATCTATGACTTTACATATCTTAGTAGATAAACCTGGAGCACCTTACAGGTGTGCTAGGGGTTTTCAAACATGCATTGGTTCAAATTCTGAATAGATCATATGTGAGATTAAAACAAGATTAACATCCTATATGCTTTTAAAATATATATAAAGCCATGGAGGGTACTCCTAGGTCTATTCACATGTAGAAGAGAGAAAGCTACTGTCCCTAAAATACTTATTGAGGTATAAGTATTAAATACTAAAGGACATAAATCAAAGGGTATGGGCTTCAGAGCATGGTAACTGTAACCACTTAAAGATATCACCAATATAAGCAAGGCTCATGGTGACCACTTACCCCACAGAGCCATGAAGATGGAGAAGAAGACGGTGGCAGGGTTGTCAAACAGGTGGCTCGCCTTTGCTGTACCACAGGCTGAGCTGAGGTTCCAGTAATCACAGGACTTGTCACACAGGGGACACATGGTGAAGGCATTCTGCTGGTCACACATCTCTTTGCTGCAGTTGAGAGAGGCTGCTGGGTCAAGTGGAAGTCAAGGAGGACCCACCCCAAGCAAATCACCCTGAAAACCTCTCCCACTTCCAAATCCATGGCTAAGCTTATCAACTCCATAGGTGAGGTGTGTTAGAGATGCTGGAATTGGATTCTTTGCCATGAGAGTTTTACTTCTGCATTTTGTCAAAGAAACGGATGGGCCACTTCTGAGGTGCGGATCCTCCTGTCACTAGGAGTGTCCTAATTAGTGAGCATCTGTCAGAGATGTTGTACACTGAGTGATGCCTTATAAAGTCCCCTCAAAATGTGCTGCATCTATGAGGTTGGTGGGGAGCACCGATGACTCTGAATCCATCACCTGCCTGAAGTCCGATTCCACCACCATCATATCAAGCCCAGGTTGTCTTCTTAAACCCTGATCGCTGCCCCAAACAGGTGTGGGACTGGTCATGGGAAGAAGCAAACCAAGAGTCTGGCTGGATCAACACAAGCTCTTACTTCTTTCTAAAGAAGAAGCCACGGAAAGAAGAATGGAGTCAGAGCTGGGTTGGAAGTCTCTTTCTAAGTGCATCAGCTGCACGCCCATTTGTAGAATGGGGATTAATACCCTCAGCATAATAAGAATGATCAAAACTGTGAAATGGGGGATGCCTCAGTCAGTTAAGCATCCAACTCTTGATGTCGGCTCTGTTCATGATCTCGTGGTTCGTGAGTTCAAGCCCCACATCAGGCTCTGCACTGTGTCAGCATGGAGCCTGCTTGGGATTCTTTCTCCCTTTCTCTCTGCCCCTGCCCCACTTGTTCTCTCTCACCCTCTCTGTCTTTCTCTCTCTCTCTCTTAAAATAAATAAACTTAAAAAATTATTAAAAAAAAAAAAACATGAAATGGGATTAGGGAGAATGCAAGAATAAGGTAAATTCTTCCAAAGTCTAGATTCTATGATACTTGTAGAGAGCAACACGAGTCAAATAACCATTGGTTATATTCTAAGCTATCCATTCTATTTAATGGACTAATGAATATAGTTGAAATTCCATTCACTCTTTAGGTGATTAGCTAGATCCAATAAATTCAGGCTCATACGAATGCTTGCAAATAAGAACCAAAGAACTACCAGCCCTAATGGCTTCCCCAGTGTCCTTCCACACTACATATTGGTAGGAAAATGAATGAACTCATCACTCTGGTGTGTAATATTTCCCCAGGGGGAATGGGTAGATGGTTAAACTCATTGTTTGGGGGAAAAGGGTGGAGAACTCGAGATTTCATGAAAATGAAGCATTGGCTGTTCTCAGAGAGCAGCTGGAGACACAGTCTTAGCGAGGTAGGAGGTACTACACTAAAAACCACAGCTGTGTTTCCTCTGGAAAGAGGCAGCAGAGGGCACTATAGAGCATGGCTGACAAGAGGGAGGCCATTGCCACAGTGAGCTGGCTGGCATCCCCTGTGCTAAATCAAGTGCTTAGATGAAACGTGGAAGTCAGGGGATGCCTGGATCCAGCTCCCTTCCGTGAAGAAGTTGAAGGATTTCCCTGAGGGCTGTCACAGTCTGTCAAGTCCCAGCTTTCAGGCTTGTTTTTAATGAGCCATTAAGCCCACAACAAGGAAAGGCCTTCTGTGTGAGAGAATGGAAACTCTAAGTCTCTGAATAAATCCTCATTCCTCCATTGACTCGCTGTGAAGCTGTCCATTGGCAAGTGTCAATAGGGGTGAGTCACTCACATAGACAATATTAAATAATATCTTAATAGTAAGTTTAGCCATGCAGGTTTTACTTGGGCACATTCTTTTTTTTTTTAAGTTTTCTTTTTTGTGTAATGTTTGTTTACTTTTGAGAGAGAGACAGAGACAGAGTGCGAGCAGGGGAAGGGCAGAGAGAAGAGACACAGAATCCGAAGCAGGCTCCAGGCTCTGAGCTGTGAGCACAGAGCCCGACATGGGGCTCAAAACTCACAAGCCATGAGATCATGACCTGAGCCGAAGTCAGACACTTAACCGACTGAGTCACCCAGATACCCCACACTTGGGTAAATTCTTATTGGTAACTGGAGAGCAAGGTTTATTCTAAGTCTTATGGGTCAGACAAGTGTCCGCTGTATCACTGAGGAGTTGTTATTTTCAGAGATGAGACTACCCTCTTAGAAAACAGATTCACACAGAAAACTGTTAGTCTGTATAAATTAGAGTAAAGAGCTGTGCTTTTAAGCCATGTTTGAGAACATATAAGTTCCTCAGTGCTGTCCTTAAGTATGTGTGTCAGGGACGTCACTTTGTTGTTTGGGATTTTTTTTTTTTTTTTTTTTTTTTTTTTTTTTTTTTTTTTTTTTTCACATAGACTTGGGGGAGGGATAATCCTAGTCAACCCAATTCTAACCAAACCCGGTCAATGCTTTTAAAAAAAAAGGTCAGGAATGAACACAGTGTCAGCAACTAGCTTGGTGCAAAGCACTTTGAAACTTAAGTGCTGTGTCACCAATCATTTGTACAAAATGGCAGCCATTGTAACATGGAGACTTCTCAAATCATTTAAATTTGAAGTCAGAATGCTTTATAGGTATTGGGTTGTTTTGTTTGTCTGTTGGATGCAAGCAATTTGAACAGAATTCTAGAGAAATTCTGCCTTAGGAGGATATTAAAATGACTTCGTATTCTCTGAGAGAGGCCGTCTCTCTAGACAAACTGAAAAGACAACTAGAAAGATGAGGGAAGCTCGCTAGAACTGAAATCACATCTGGGTTATTCACCAGCTGCATAATCCACAGATTTCTTGTTAGATGCAAATGTGGCTATAACTCATATTTCTTCAATCTATCATTTTCTCTAGAAAGCATAAAAGGGCTGATAAATGGTCTGGCAATCAGCTGAACCAGGACCCCAAGGTGAGTGGTGTTCTTAATCAGTAGTAACTCATTGCTCACAGATTAGGTGATACAGGGCTGTGCTAGCATGAAGGGAAGAGGTGCAATACGGCATTTATTCAAGAAATTCAGACACAACATTGCTATTAAGGACTCAGACCTAAAGTAACCATTTTTTTTCAACATGGTTTAGATCAATCAGATTTTTTTTTTTAAATGTCCCAGTCTTGGGGCGCCTGGGTGGCGCAGTCGGTTAAGCGTCCGACTTCAACCAGGTCACGATCTCACGGTCTGTGAGTTCGAGCCCCGCGTCGGGCTCTGGGCTGATGGCTCAGAGCCTGGAGCCTGTTTCCGATTCTGTGTCTCCCTCTCTCTCTGCCCCTCGCCCGTTCATGCTCTGTCTCTCTCTGTCCCAAAAATAAATAAACGTTGAAAAAAAAAAAATTTAAATGTCCCAGTCTTTCCTACGCATGTAAGCAAATGCCTAATAAATGGAATCAATCCCTTGGTTAGTAAAGTACTATAGACAAGCCATGTACATATGGAACCATTTATTACTCATAAGTGATATTTGTATCTCACATATCAAAGTTGTGGGTGATAAAAGGTACCATTCAAAGTTCCACATAACGTAAATTTTCTGCTTTTGATATTATACTATAGTTACATGAGACACAACCAGTGGGGGGAACAGGATGAAGGATACAGTGGGTCCTTTGTACTATCTTCCTATTAATCTATAATGTTTTCAAAATAAAACATTTTTTAAATGATACATAGATAATAAATTCCAGGCTTAATGTCAAAATACTCTAAAGTAATCCCAGGAATTACTTCTGCAAGTTTTTAATCATGCTTAGGAGTAGCTGACAGACACAGATCCCAGAAGAGTATGAATTTGTTTAGATTCAGTATTGGGACTTAAAGACTATCCTTTTGTTGATCGAGAGTGGTATTTCATGAGTTTTCATCAAGCCCAAAGAGCTTGGATTTCTGATGGATACACAATTATGATTAAACAGCAGTTCTTTTAAAAAATTCTTCATAATTTATCATTTACATCTTCCTTATTTATCACACCCCACCTTAAGTATGCAAAACCAATAACCAAAATTTCAATTTTATAACAGTCAATTTCAAACTTTTGGACTGTGACCTACAGTCTAAAAAAAAAATCCTTTAATCAGATTCCAGTATACAAATACATACTCTCTCCCCTATAAACATACTAAGATAACTAAATAAAATCTCATAAAACAATACCTATACTTCCTTCTTATGATGAATACTAATATTATATTTCACTCTACTCTATCCTGTCTTTTTCTGGTTCACTTAAAACATAGCCATTCAACTGATTCTTTAATCCACTAGTGGGTTGTTACACATAGTTTCTGAAACATTACACACTCTTACAGGTAATAAGATACACCTGCAGTGATAACAATGATCTTTTACATGACTATATACCTGCATATATACAAGCACATGTGTATAGATATACATTTTTCAGCATGTGTAGACCATGATAATTTCCAGCTAAAATGGTCACTGTCTCATGTATTCCCAGATGGGCAACCAGGGCAAAGGTTCTAAAACCCAACATTAACCAGGACACTGATGCCCACACCCTTTCTCCTACACTGGCATCAGCTCTCTATGCACAGTATGGAGTTTTCCAGTTTGGATCAATCTGAGGCCCAGCTCTCTAGGGATCAAACTCAGTAAAGGGAAACATGGGAGCCATGTTTCCTGAGAAAGCACCAGGCAAGGCCAGCTGAAGCTACTTGGCTACCAAGGAAGATATAAGCCCTCTGGGGGACTTCACATCTTAGCAGAAAAAGCAAAGATGGGAGCAGGAGGCAGCAGAGGTCAAACTGCAACCCTGACAATTATTAGTTGTTGAAGTTGGACAAGTTAGGTGACCATACTTAGCATCAGATGAAAATAATAACAGTTTACAACCATTGATCTCTACAGGATCAAAAAAACTAATACATGAAAACCACCCAGCACCATGCCTGGCACAAGGTAGGCATCTAGTAAGTATCCATTCTCCCCTTGTGCTCCATGGCCTGAAGAAAGCAGAACCTCTGCTATGTATCTCGTGTGACAAAGGTCCCAGAACTCCCAGTCAAGAACGCCAGACAGTTGGTCCTGGAGTTTTACACACAAAAATATCCAAACCCTTGTCTCTTATCTCAAGGTATTTTGCTTTATTCTAACCACGGGCAATGCCTATTCCAGCTTCTCTAGTTTACAAGACCATTCCTATAGACAGACATGGTGGAAACAAGAGCTACCTGGTTCCTGCCATTGGTGAAACCTTTTCCTCAAAGGAGCACAGCTCTTGGCCCTTCCTCCAGAATAGCCACTACTTCCTCCAACTACAGTAGACACCCACAGTCTGCCCAGTGTCCTCATCCACCTGGCTACTGAGGGAACATCCTGTTGGTACAGCGTGATCCCAGCCCACAGCCACGATTGCTGGCCCCGGGCCCTCCGCCTAACCCAAAGTGAGCCAACAGGCCTTTTTCATTCAGGACCAATCAAGTAGAAAGCTCTAAGTTGTAACACCCATGAGCTATTAGTAGGACTGTTTACATCCAATGGAGAAAATCTGTAGTGAAACAAATATGAGAAAGAACCAGAGACAGGAGATAAACAGGAGTCCCTATTTCCGTTGTCTCTTAGGCTAGCCACATGCCTGCCACTAGGCTCCCCCGACACACCCCAGAACCCTTATGATAAATTCGTTTTGTTGTTATTGTGGGTTTTTTTGCTTCAGCTACTTCATGTTGCACGTCTATCACTTGCAACTGAAAAAGTATTAAAATACACTAACCCACTAACTATGCTTCGCTTTTCAAGGACAGTGCTGCAGATGGCAAGAGATTTAAATTTGAAATATAAGTGTCTCTCGTGTCGCTTGTACTTTATTTCCACAGACGTTGACCCTTTCAACAACTATTTATTAATATTCTACTATGTGCCAAACATTGTTTCCTTGAATCCTCACAACAACATCACGAGGTACGAGTTATTACCACCATTTACAGCCAAGGGAAGGAAGACTCAGGGAGTGAACTACCCAGTCCTACAGCTAATACGTAATGCTGTCCATCCTAAAGGATGCTATTTTTAAGTGCTTATATTCTTTGTAGTCTGTCTTTTCACCAGAAGGACCAGCCTTTATTCTATCTTTGGCTTTCCAAGAGCCTCACCATGGGGCCTATCACCTGCAGTTTCCAACTTCCTGAACCAGAGGCTGAGCCCTCCTTTCCAGAACTGCCTGCTTCCATGGTCAGCCTCACAGTGTTTGACCATATAAACATGCAATCGCCACCCAACACCGCTCAACATCTCCTGACTTGGGTCTTTATAGAAAACCAGAGAAAAGAGTAAGTCATGAAGTTGAGGGGGAAACGCATTTCTCAGGCATGATTTTTTTTCATCAGGTATAATTCATCTGCCCATATCAGACTTAGGCCCTGGAGAAGAGCTTAAGTAGGAGAGAAAGGGAGCCACCCCAGCACAGCTCTAAAGCCATTCCCAGACTCTGTAGTTCCCAGATCTGTCTCTGGAGGGAAGTTGCATGTGCGGTAAGGGGAGGAGAGAATAGAGGGTAAGGACTTTGGAAAGAAGCGTGTGAAATGTACTCGCAACTGGGATGAATCGCCAAACTACTGCCATGTGGGAACTGAGCCCTCTTCTTTAAAACCGTCTCACCTGGGAATATCTTCTTCGATTGTTGCACATCCATAAAGAAACACGATCACCCCGATTACAGAAGATGGGATGAGGAATGATGTATATAATCCCAGCCAGGCAAAATACAGTCCAATTTTTTCTCCAAAATACTTTCTGTAAAAGAAAGAAAATCACAACACATAGTAAGAACACCATATACATTCCACATTTCTGTTTGTTCTAAACCTGACAATGGGTTGGCATAAAGGAAAAGAGATGGAAGTTAGATAGCGAAACAGGGACCTCGGCACAAAGATCAATGGGTCTCTTCTGATATGAATTACGTTCCCTTGGAATCACACACACACACACACACACACACACACACACACCTGCCCTGGCTATTCCTGTGCCATAGCTGCAGGAAGGAATCCAGCCCTAACAGCAAGCTGAGAATATGCCGTAAGTTTTGGCATCTTTACCAGACAAACATGAAGGACACATCATCATCTCATAAGTACTACAACCCACAAAAAACCACACCTTTTCAGAACTTGCTTATATGAACAAAACACACAAAGTATATAGCTGGGCATGTATACTTGTGTACACAAACCATAAAACCCATAGAAAAGGACTAGATGCATTTTGGTAAAATATTAGCAGTGGTTTCTTTAGCTGACAGGATGATGGGTGGCTTTTTATTTATTTTTCATCATTCTGCATTTAAAAAAAATTTTTTTTAACATTTATTCATTTTTTGAGAGACAGAGCATGAGTGGGGGAAGGGCAGAGAGAGACAGGGCGACACAGAATCCGAAGCAGGCTCCAGGCTCCGAGCTGTCAGCACAGAGCCCAATGTGGGGCTCGAACCCACAAACTGTGAGATCATGACCTGAGCCGAAGTCTGACGCTTAACCGACTGAGCCACCCAGGCACCCCTTATCATTCTGCATTTTTAAACTACTTTGTTAATGAATTATTTTCATTAAAAAAATCCTTTTAAAGAGAAAATTAACCAGCCATTATCTTTTTGATCCCCATTCAGGAATGTAGTAAATTATCATACCAAGTCTCTAAAAAGGGATTTTTTTTCCTTTACACAAATATTGGTTATGGATACCTGATGAGAAAACTACAAGCAGATTTTACTTCTTGAGAGCATCTGACATAAAACTCAGGAGGGACAAGGGAGGGCAGCCCAGTCTTTGATGTGAGAACGAAAGAACAACAACAGAGAACAGAATCTATTTCTCTACTACCAGAGGTGCTGACTGCGAGGAAATGGGGCTTCCACCCTAACAGCAAGAGAAATCTGGATAATCTGTGACATCAAACTTCCCTTGAAGTTTCCATCAGGGAGTGGAAGCTGCAAGGTAATCGGGGAACTGAATTGAAAAAACAAAAGCAAAAACAACAACGACAAGCCCCTCCCAGGAAAGATGGGACATGTGAACACTTTCAGATTTGGCAGAGCATGGGAAGAAAAGGCAGACACCATAAAAGTGGGCACAAAGAAATAGATAACATTTTTTAAACCTTAAAGGTTGAGTATAGGTTAGCATGACATGTTAGAAAAAATGGCAGCTCTAGACACAAGAGGGCTTTGCACTCACTCATAAGATCCTAGCCAAGGACCGCCACTCGGTACTCAGGACGACGGTAATGGGCAAGGTTAGAAACTGGAAAGGGCCTCCTTAGTTGCAGAGAGGCATGAAAGCACACCATCTCCCAGGACCATCTCTTATTCAAATCACTGAGTGACAAGGATCAGCAGTCTGCAGTGAGGGAGGAGCAGGAGAGAGACCCCTCTGCGGCAAAGGACTGCTGACAGCTGACGGTGGAAAGGGGACAATGAGGACAAACTGTCAGCACTTCCAGGGCCCACGTGAAGCACATGGTAATAGCATCCCACTGCTGAAGGAATGTGAAGCCTGTCGTATGCTGCAGATGACTCTCACAACAACAAAATCCAAGCCATGCCCAACCTCTGACTAGGTTGACTCTGCTCCCCTCATGACAGAAGAGGTATAAGCCCATTTCAGTTTTTCTTATTTCTTTTAGGTTTATTTATTTTTTTGAGAGAGAAATAGAGAGACAGAGAGCACGCAAGAGCACACAGGCGGGGAAAGAGCAGAGAGAGTGAAGGAGAGTCCCAAGCAAGTCTCCATGCTGTCACCACAGAGTCCGACATGGGACTAGATCTCACAAACCATGAGATCATGACCTGAACTGAAATCAGGAGTCAGCTGTTTAACCGACTGAGCAACCCAGGTGCCCCAAGTCCATTTCTAGGTGTAAATACCACTTACCTCAGTTTCTATGTCCTTTCATACACAATGTTCAGAAAATTCAATAAAAAAAAAATCCTGAGTTACATAAAAAATTAAACACTCACTGTCAAGAAATTAGGAAATCAACAAAACCAAAGTTGCTCTAGATGCCAGAATTATTAGGGACTTCAAAGTAATTATAATTCATTTTTTAAGGAAGAATCTAATGCAAAAGATAGGCAACATGCATGAGAAAATTGGGAACTCCCATAGAGAGATGAAAATACAAAAATGCAAAATGGAATTGCTAGAGGAAAAAAAAAGCAACAATGGATATCAGATATGAGAAACATCTTTATTAGAGTGCCTTAGCAGGAGACTAAACACAGCTTAGGAAAAAATGAATAATTCTGAATATAAGTCAACAAATATTATCCAAACTAAGACACAAAGAGAAAGAAAAGAGGAAAATTATAGCAATCAAGAGCCATAGGATAATATCCTAGGGTCTATCATATGTAACTGAAGTCCCAGAAAGATAAAGAGAAAGAGACAGAAGAAACACTTGAATGGATTATGGCTAAAAAAATTTTCCAAAATTAATCGAAAACAATAAAACACAGATCCAAGAACTCCAGAGAACCCCAAGCAGAATAAATATAAAAACAAAAACAGAAACCCACATAGCTAGACAATATCATAATCAAACTTCTGAAAAACAAAGATAGAAAATCTTTAATTAAACTGGGGTGAGGGTGAGGGTGAGGTGGGGAGGGTATTATATGCAAAGGAACAAAGATAAGATTTATAGTCAATTTCTTGGCAGAAACTATGCAAGCCAGAAGAATAGAGTGCCAACCTTACAATATGGAAATTAAAAAAAAAAAAGCAGTCAAAGCAGAATACAGAATATTATGTGACATAGTGCTTCCATGGGGGATAAAACTAGTTCTTTGGAAGCCAAAACTATCTTAGGTAGCTTTCAGGTGGTTTTTAGGTCTCCAAAGGGCCACAGTACATAAACAGATACATAGTATATACATGGTATTAAAATTTCATGTAGCAACAATGGAATAAAGGCAGAGAAACACTGATATCAAGCAAAAATAGTGATAATGTCTTATGGAGTTTATAACGTATGTAGGAATAGGAAAATAATAGCACAAAAGACAGGAGAGAAGAAACCAAGATATACTGTTGGAAGGCCCATACCCTGTGTTTGAAAGGGTATAATATTATTACTTTTTTAAAATTTATTGTCAAGTTAGCTAACATACAGTGTACACAGTGTGCTCCTGGTTTTGGGGGTAGATACCCGTGATTCATCACTTCTATACAACACCTAGTGCTCATCCCAACAAGTGCCCTCCTCAATGACTATCACCTGTTCCCCCCACCACCATCAACCCTCAGTTTGTTCTCTGCATTCAAGAGTCTCTTATGGTTTGCATCCCTCTATGTTTGAAACTATTTTTTCCCCTTCCCTTCCCCCATGGTCTTCCGTTACGTTTCTGAAGTTCCACATATGAGTGAAAACATGTGAGATCTGTCTTTCTCTGACTAACTTATGTCACTTAGCATAATATCCTCCAGTTCCATCCACTTTGCCACAAATGGCAGGATTTCATTCTTTCTCATTGTCAAGTAATATTCCATTGTATATATAAACCACATCTTTTTTTTCAATATATGAAATTTATTGTCAAAATGGTTTCCATACAACACCCAGTGCTCATCCCAAAAGGTGCCCTCCTCAATACCCATCAC